AAAAAAAAAAAAAAAAAAAAAAAAAAAAAAAAAAAAAAGGAAACCAAAGGAATGGGAGAAAATATTTGCAAGTGACATATCAGATAAAGGGTTAGTATCCAAAATCTATAGAGAACTTATCAAACTCAATACTCAAAAAACAAATAATCCACTGAAGAAATGGGCAAGAGACATGAGTAGACACTTCTCCAAAGAAGACATCCACATGCTAACAGACACATGAAAAAATGCTCAACATCACTCATCATCAGGGAAATACAAATCAAAACCACAATGAGATACCACCTCACACCTGTCAGAATGACTAACATTAACAACAGATGTTGGCGAGGATGTGGAGAAAGGGGAACCCTTTGCACTGCGGGTGGGAATGCAAACAAGTGCAGTCACTCTGGAAAACAGTATGGAGGTTCCTCAAAAAACTAAAAATAGAACTACCCTATGACCCAGCAATTGCACTACTAGGTATTTATCCAAAGGATACAAGTGTACTGTTTTGAAAGGGCATATGCACCCCAATGTTTATAGCAGTGCTCTCGACAATAGTCAAATTATGGAAAGAGCCCAAATGTCCACTGATAGATGAATGGATAAAGAAGATGTGCATATATATACAATGGAGTATTACTTGGCAATCAAAAAGAATGAAACCTTGCCATTTACAACTACATGGATGGAACTAGAGTGTATTATGCTAAGAAAAATTAGTCAGAGAAAGGCAAATATCATATGACTTCACTCATATGTGGAATTTAAGATACAAAAGAGATGAACATAAGGTAAGGGAAACAATATAAACACAGGAAAGGGGACAAAACCTAAGAGACTCTAAATATAGAGAACAAACTGAGGGTTGCAGGAGAGGTTGTGGGTTTGGGGATGGGCTAAATAGGCAAGGGCATTAAGGAGTGCCCTTGGGATGCTCATTGGGATGAGCACTGGGTGTCTGTTACATGTAGGGGATGAATCACTGGATTGTACTGGAATCATTATTGCACTATATGCTAACTAACTCGGATGTAAATTTAAAAAAATAAATGAAAGGAAAAAAAAAGACGTAAATGTTCCTGATGACAAGCACCACCATCATACTGAAAATCCTTAATCCTAATTTATTTTTCTTTATTCAGGTGCTTTATATGAACCTAGACCTAACAATCTCTGTAGAGATAAACAAAGGTCACCCAAATGAGAAGAATAACTACTTATCGACAGCAAGAGAGTCATCCACCACCACTGCTTGCATTTGGCAGAGATTCAAAGGCAGGTAGAGGAGTGGGAAAGCTTTATGATGGCAAAAAGGGAAGGTCCATCCCAATGGGAAGTTGTCATATATTTTAGAACTCAAAGGTAACAATTATGTACTTTGTAAGAAAATTCATTACGTCAGCCAGAATTTCATGCAATTTTCATGACAAGAAATTAAACTCCTTACAGGTTTTATGTACTTTTCTCTCTTCCTCATTTTAGATCTCTTTGACCAGATACTTTTTTCCATTTATTATTATTTTTTTTCATTTAAATACAGGTTAGTGAACATATAGCGTACTAATGGTTTCAGGAATAGAATTTAGTGATTTACCACTTACCCATAACACCCAGTGCTCATCTTGACAAGTGCCATTTTTCTTCAATCATTACAGAAGTTTTTCACTATCAGCCCAATTGTAAAGCAAAGGCACTCAGATCTAAGGAGATTCCTAAATGGGGCATAATTCTTTACATTCTACTTTTAAAGAAGACTAAGTAAAGTTTAAAGTTATACCATTAGGGAAGAAATAAGGGACTATGTGGGAGTTATTTCTTTGGACAGAGTAAGCAGAAAACTGACTAGGTAAGCACACATGCCTGTGATTATATTGGGGTGCGTGGCAGCATTCACTGAGTTGTCTCTGCCACCAGTAAGCATATGTCCCTGACATATTAGTAACATTTAAGAACTTTGGGGCTTGATATACATAACCTCTAAATTCCTCTTCCAGTAAAATAATGATACCATATGAGTTCATGGATCTGAAGATCTGAGAGTTAAGTATGATTTAATGGAAATAACAACAAAAAGCCATACCTTTGTATTATCTTTTATCTTTGTGTTACTTTTGTTTTTCTCCCTGGCTTCACGAAGACCTTTCTGAGTAGGACCTTCCAGTGCATTTTCTTTTTCACGGTTAGGAACAACTACAAGATAACACAATTTATTCTTAGTATCTATACTGTCTTGCAATGATAAATACAATTTTAATCAAAATATGAAAGCCAAAGTCATAATGATACATGTGTTTTTTAAAGTATTGTACTAGTAATATTGAAATAATACCAAAGTGTTCTTTTAATTTTTTTTTAATGTTTCATTTATTCTTAGAGCACAAGTGGCGGAGGGGCAGAGTGAGAGAGGGACCCAGAATCAGAAGCAGGCTCCAGGCTCTGAGCTGTCAGCACAGAGCCCGACGTGGGGCTTGCACTCACAAGCCATGAGATCATGACCTAGGCCAAAGTCGGATGCTTTACCAACTGAGCCACCCAGGTGCCCCATTACCAAAATGTTTTAAGTCAAGTGTCAAATTCATTTCCCCAAAATTCAGGGTGTGATTACTACAATGTCAGTTAAATGGCATGATAAGCCAGTTAGAGAGCATAATAGCCAATCTCCAGTTACATTATTTCCAAATTCCTGTCATGAGATTTCATGTGTATATGAATAAAGTTGAAGAGGGTCAAAGGAGTGAATGGTAAACAATGACAAAATATCCTTTGTGGAATTGGGTAATGAATAACAGATTTTTAGAAGAATATTGTATTAACAAAATATTATTCTTCATGCTTCTCAAGTTGAAAAAAAAAACAGAAAGGAAAATAATTGGGTAATTTTCCAATGTAGTTGTAACATTAGTCTCCAAACTCTCCTGGACATAAAGAGAACAGTCCTAAAAAAACCACCTGGGGGAAAAATAAAAGTGACAGGGAAAGTCTCTTTCTTTTATACATCTTTCCATATACATATACATATTTACATATACATAATTTCTCCTTATATTTTTAAACAGGAAAATGACTGCAAATAAATTCATACAGTTACAATCATTAACTCATAACTAAAAGAAATAACTAAGTGTTCTAAATTATAACACTAGATTTATAACAGAGAAAAGATGAACACAAAAATATCTGGATGAGTCAAGGCTCTCAAAGAATTCTTAAGGCAAGGAAGCACATAGCTGGCATTTAGATTCTTTCCTGATATAATTCTTTCTACTCAGTACCAGTTTCAGACAAAGGAGAAAATCTCCAAAGCAGCTTGGACAATAACCTAAAAACAGAATATTGAATAACATAGTTCTACATGAAACCACTAAAAAGACTTCAAAACACTTGAGTATCCAGACTGCCTGTTCTCCCTGATGGTGCTAAAAGTTAGAGCCCCATCTGGGAAGTGTAAGTGGGGGTTTGGGGGAGGGATGGGGGAGGGGCAGGAGGGAAGGCAGCAATTATGGCTCACTGACATTAAGGAAAATTTTTCACTTCCAGTTCTCTTTTATTGTATTTTCCTTTTCAACACCCAAGAATGACATCCTGATCATGATAATAATTTAAAATAATTATAATTAGCATTTATGCCTCACTGATCTTCTACTATATGACAGCCACTGGTCTAAACAATTTGCATGTATTATTTCATAATACAAGTTGATCAGGCAATCAGAGAGGTGACAGAGTCTGCCATGACACTGCCAAATGCTAAGACCAGAAGCTTAGAGAAAGGTACTGAAAGCCCCATATCTAAAACTAGAATGCATGTTTATGAACAGTGTAAAATTATTCAGTACAGAATATAAGGAATTAACTTTATTCATGTAGTTGGGATTATACAATTAAAAGAAAGTATTTCATCATGTTGTGTTGAAATTTATTCCTTTTTTACCAAAAGCCACTTATCACATATCAAAATATAAACAAACTTGGTCTTCAAAGTAACTTAGAAAAACATGCACCGTGTTCATTTATAAATTAGGTTAAATAGCAGAATATAATTTCATAAAGAAGTTACCAGTAAACCATGAGTTTATTTTAATAGAGATGCCAAGGATAAAGAACACAAACTGTTAGAGTAGAATGGAGTATTAGAGATTAATTGTTATAACTATCAACTCAGTGCACAAAATTCCTCAACCTTTAAGCCTTCTTATATATATTGGTCTTCACACATTTTAGTCATTTGGGAAGTTAGAGTTCCTGAGGCTGTGATAGGCTGACACTATCCCTTCATATTTATAACTGACTGCATTCTTAAAAGTTATTTACAGATGGAAACAAGTAATTTTTTAAATTTTTTAATGTTTTATTTGTTTTTGAGAGAGCGAGAGAAAGACAGAGACAGAGCACAAGCAGGGAGGGGCAGAGAGACAGGGAGACACAGAATCTGAAGCAGGTTCCAGGCTCTGAGTTGTCAGCACAGAGCCCCACATGGGGCTCAACTCCATAAACCATGAGATCATACATGACCTGAGCTGAAGTCAGATGCTTAACTGACTGAGCCACCCAGACACCCTGGAAACAAGTAATTTTATCTTAACAAAAATATATATCCTTTGTAAAAAAAAAAAAAAATGCAATAAGGAAAAAATGTAGAAAAAAATCACATCATGCAAATTATGTATATATTTTGGTGTGCATCATTTTTATTTGCATATATTTAATAGCTATGACCTTTTACTATATAAATGTTCTTATTTTTTAACATTTTATTAACTTTATGATGTGAGCATTTTCTTATGCATGATTTTTAAAGACTTTCTAGTTGCATGATCAGCCATATTTAAACATTCACCAATAAGATTGTTTGCACTGTTTTTTTACTATAGATATGACTACAATAAACATCTTTGTTCATAGTATCTTTAGGAATCATTGAGCATAGCTAATATTTCTTTAACTTAAAATATTTGAAAGGAACTACTGAATCAAGGCTAAGAAAAAAATTTCAAATATGAGAATGCTATTTCTTTCTCTTAAGCTTTAACCATTGAACACAGTGAATAGTCATCTGTAAATAATAGGATGTCATATTTATTAAGAAAATTCACTGTTTTGCAGTCTATATTTTAGAGTTTCCATCATTTTTTAAAATCAAATTTACTGAGGTACAATTTACATACAATAAAATGAACACATTTTAAATATAGAATTGTGTAAGTTTTGACAAAGATAAACCAGCATATAACCACCACCAAAATAGAGATATAGAACATTTGCACCACTCCCAAAATTATTTTCTTATGTTAGCATTACCATTTATAAGTATGTACAATAATTTTTGTTTTTATAAGGCATTTTTCTTTTAAGGAAATTAAAAATAAAAAATATATATCTTAACCAGAATTTAACATTCCTAAATCTCTGTATTCAATCCCAGAGATCTGAGTTTTCTTCTGACCAAGGAAAGTCCTTTAGTATTTCCCACACGTTAGAATGATTTGCAACAAAATCTTTTAGCTTTCATTTAAATTAAAATGTCTGTATGTCTTTATTTCACCCTATTTTTTGAGGATATTTTACTGGACATAGCATTCTGAATTAAAAATTTTCCACATTTGAAAACTGTCATTTCTTTGTTTCTAGCCTCTAATATCTCTGACAAGAAATCAGCCTTTATTACATTACTGTTCTCTTGTATGTAATATGATTTTTTTCTCTTGCTGCTTTAGAGATTGTCTCACTTAAATTTTAAGGTTTGAATATGATGCATCCAGGATTGATTCTCTTTGGGTTTACAGTTAGCTGCTTTTGGGGGAGTTGATGTTATCAAATTTAGAAAAATTTAGGTCATCTTTTGTTTAAATATTTTGTGTCCCATTCGTGTTCTTTTCTCCTTTGGCACTGCAATTTCACATCTGTTAAATAGGCATATTTCCCTTTAATTTTTTTCTCTAGTCATCAGACTAAGTTTTAACTGATGTCTCTTAAATTCACTGACGTTTCTGTCATCTCCAATCTGTTGTGAACTATAAAATTTCCATTTAAATTATCATATTTCTCAATACTAGAATTTAATTTTTTTTTTTTTTTTTGGTTTCCATGTAGCTGCTAAGATTTCCTATCTCTTCACTTATTAATGTCATATTTTTCTTTAATTCCTTGATAATATTCAAAATAGTTGCGCTAGCATTTTTATCAGCCAAATTCAACATCTGGGCCATCCTGGTGTACGTTTCCATTTACTGATTTTTATCTTGATTGTGGGCCACCTTTTCCTGTCTCTATAATATACATAGAAAACTTAAATTACATACCGGGCAGTATAGATGACAGGTTATCAAGGCTCAGGACAACTGCCTTCCTTTAAAGGGTATTCATTTTTGTTCTAGCACGCAGTTCAGTTTTTTGATGATCACCTTGAAATTCTAGGCTTAATTTTCTACTTTGTTAAGGTGGATCCATGGAAAGCCCTACATTTTCCCCAAGGCTCTCTAACTTACAAGATTCAAACTCAAACTCTATCTCCCTTAGAAATTCTATGTAAGCTTTGTTTGGGGTTTTATAATAAAGGGCAGTACAAGTGTTATGTTAATATGGTTAATACGTTAATATGATTATGTTAAACATTAATATGGTATTAACAAGGAGTTAAAGAGTAAAGAGGTCTCTTCATCCAGATATGACCAGAACTCCAATGTCACCATACCTGTTTGATTTCTAGAATCCTTTTTCCCCTCTTAGACCTTTAAAATCTCCTCACAGTCAAGTCTTGGGTATTCTTACATGTATAACCCGCTATCAACTAAAAGACTCAGTAAACTGCCTCATAAATTGGGTCACTGCTTATTGCAGCTCCCTTTTTATCTGGTGCACTTTCCTGGGACAGTGTGAACTATGTATAATCTTTGCCTTTTCAGTTCTTCAGGACTGGCATGCTCTTCTTGACCTCTACCTGCATGGAATTTGGTTTGGAAACCGTCCCAGGCACAAAGCCATAGTCATAGCAGATCTCAACTTATAAATTTTTCTTCTATCACTTCTTATCTCTTTCTGTGACTTGTGCTGTTTCCCAAAGGCTAAAAGTAGCTGCCCTATAAATAGTCTAGTTGAAGAGTTTTTTCATTAAAAGAAGGTTAGTCTGGTACCAGCTACAGCATCATGGTCAGAAACACAAGCCCTCCCATTATAGTTTCCTCATATTTTTATCTGAAATTAGTTATACAGTACCATATCCATATTCCCTCTTGATCTTGTCATTAACATTTTAATTTGTGAAATAGTTACCATATCATTTATTCACTTTTAATTATCTCCAGAATTTTGAGCTCTGATAAGATTAAAAAATCACCAACTGATATTAAATTAGTTTTATTACATTTTATTTTTACCTCTAATTTCAGAAGCATGGTAATTATGCCCTATTTCCATATTCTTCAATGTTGCTTGAAGCCCAGAAATCTAAAAAATGAAATCCAAAGATACGGGGTTATATCTTTGTATATACACAAAATGACTCAAAAAGAGTTGAATAAAATACAGTGTTTAAATACTGCCTGAAAGATATAAAAATATTAATTTCTCTTGGATTAATTCCTATATATTTAAATAATTAAACATGAATTATAACAAAAGAAAAACATAATTTTAAATTCAATTCAGTGGGTAATTATTAGGTATCCATTATAAATAAACAACTGAAACATTTATTTCATAGCATAGTTTCCTGAATCAAGAATACTCATTCCACACTTTGAATGATAATTATTCATTACTCTACTTTGAGAGAAATTTCTTCTCTGTTGAAATTGCTTCACAACAACTTAATTCATCTTTCTGTGTATAAAAGATGAGGTAAGTATTAGTTGAGAAGTAAAATATGAAGAGACTATTGTTTTTCTTGAAACTCTTAACTCATTTTCAGCCCACAGACATTCCTTGTTTTATTAAACATGTTTCATAATTAAGAAAATTTGTTAATTTGGAGGCATATAATCTACCTATATTTCCTGAACAATAGACTTGAATTAAAAATTCAACCTTAAAGAGCTTTCTTGTCCCTCATTGTATATGATTATATCAACACAAAATACCATCTATTTAATTATATGCAGATACACATATTTTCCTACTATTACTGAGTAATAATATTTCTTTAATAGAAAACAGCAGATAATCGTAATCTATAGATTAGTGCTCATAAAATGCCTGGGAGAAATAAAAAGGTAAAAAAAATTGTATCTATTCTTGAATGCCAAATGGATTATTAAGTTTTTAAATACGCTTACTTGGAATAGTATAAGATTTACATAAAAGTTGCAATGTAATAGAGAGCTCTTATATACCCTGCACCCTATTTCCCATTAATATCATACATTACCATAGTATGTTTGTCACAAGTAATGAGACAATATTGATACATTATTATTAACAGAATTCCATATTGTGTTCTAATTTCATTATGGTTTTTCAAATACATGTTTTCTATTCCAAGAGCTTATACAGGACACTTTACATTTAGTCATCATGTCTTATTTGCTTCCTCTGGACTAGTACAGTTTCTCAGACTTTCCCTCACTTTGATGATCTTGACAATTTTGAGGAGTACTGATCAGGTAATATTTTGGAGAATATCCATTCTTTTGGGGTTGTCTAATATTTTCTCATGGTTAGACAGGAGTTATGGGTTTTGAAGAGGAAGACTGCAGAGTAGAAGTGTCATTATTAGCTCATTATTTAGCAACATGGTTAAAGATTAACGATGTTATTCTTGATCACCTTCCTGAAATGGTATTGTCTAGGTTTCTCCATTGTAAAATTACTTTTTCTTCCATTTCCACTGTACTTGTGGAAGCAAGTCATTGTGTATAGGCAACAACAGATGAGGTGTTAAGCTCTACCTCCTTGAGGAAAAGATTATTTACATATGTCATTTGGGATTCCTCTTTGAGAGAAATATTTTTCTTCTCCATTTACATACTCATCCATTTATTTATATTACTATGAACTCACAGATAATTATTTTATACTCTGTGTTATAATCTATTTTGTTGCTCAAATTGTTCAAAATTTGACCGTTGGGAGATCTTTCAGGATGATTCATGTAATGACTATGACTCCATTTGTTGGTGTTTGACTGCCAACAGTTTTTAATCCTTACTTCCTACTTCCCTTAGTGCCCTATATCTTAGAAAACTGATATCAAAGCCTGGATGCTTCCTCCTTTGGCACTGATGGGAGATTCAAACCATATAATCCCATTATCCCACATAAGGACCCTCATCCTACTTCCAAACCCTAACCACAACAAAAACACTAAGCCAGTCTCCTTCGTTTTACTCTCTGAAGACATTTCAGACCTGCATGGTAAGGCATATGCTGCTTTCCCTAGAGAGCTCAATTATGTAAGTAATAAAAGTTTTCATACCCTCTGTGTGTGCTGTGTGTATAGCACAATCAGTTTCAACATCCAAACCAAATTTGGTTCTTGGTCCATTTACTTCTAGAGGTGCCCACAACAGTAACAGCTTCTTTGTCCCTTGACACACCCCATTGTTATGTTAAGTACTTTCTTTCTCTCTCTTCTTTCTTTCTCTCTTTTTTCCTTCTTTCTTTCCCTCCCTCCCTCTCTCTTTCTTTTCTTTTTTTCCTTGTTTCTTTTCTTTTCTTTTCTTTTCTTTTCTTTTCTTTTCTTTTCTTTTCTTTTCTTTTCTTTTCTTTTTTCTTTTCCTTTCACCTTCTGATCATTTCCTAACATTCTAGCTCAACAACATGGGCCAAATGTTCCAGGTGCATTTCGTATTTTCCCTGCCCAGCCCTACTTCCATCTGTTGGAGGATGGTATCAAAACAGATATTTAGGGGTGCCTGGATGGTTCAGTCCATTAAGTGTCCAACGTCAGCTCTGGTCACGATCTCATGGTTCATAAGTTTGGGCCCCACGTCAGGCTCTGTGCTGACAGCTCAGAGCCTGGAGCCCGCCTCGGAATCGTGTGTGTGTGTGTGTGTGTGTGTGTGTGTGTGTGTGTGTGTGTCTGCCCCTCCCCGCCTCATGCACACATGCGCTCTCTCTCTCTCTCAAAAGTAAATAAACATTAAAACATTTTTTAAAAAGAAATAGATATCAATGCACTGGGTATACTCATTTGCTATTGGAGTCTCATTACTTCTAGATCCTCTCAGCAAGCAGACCTAAAAACATATACATTTATTTTATATAGTATCTCCTGATATTATATTATATTACATTAATATTATAGTAAATATAAATATTAATATATTTACTTTTACTCTATTAAATGTTATTTATAATATGTTTATATTGTTATATTATAATAAATATAAATAATAATATGTTATATATTATATTACAGCCCTATGAACCAAAAAAAGATAAAATGCAACTTATTTTACATATATACTAACAAATTATATTTTATATATTTTCAATCATGGGACTGTAATTCAGAATTTTGAACATTTTCAAGTAATTTTATAAAACAAAACAATTAAATTAGAAGTTTTTCCATAAGATTACAATAAATTTAAAACAGTTGCTGTAACCTGAAGAATTTAAGAACACATATTTATTAGATTTTTGTCATCTCACAGTATACTTTTACTCCTTTATATACAAACTGAATATCATTAAAAAATTCTAAATTCTAATCCTTCTTGCAAAGTATTACAGAGCTCTATATGTTTAAAGAGAAAGATAGTGAGCTAAATGTTCACTAAGATAAGGTTTTTTTTGTTTGTTTGTTTGTTTTTTTAATTTTTTTTTTCAACGTTTATTTATTTTTGGGACACAGAGAGACAGAGCATGAACGGGGGAGGGGCAGAGAGAGAGGGAGACACAGAACCGGAAACAGGCTCCAGGCTCTGAGCCATCAGCCCAGAGCCCGACGCGGGGCTCGAACTCACAGACTGCGAGATCGTGACCTGGCTGAAGTCGGACGCTTAACTGACTGCGCCACCCAGGCGCCCCAAGATAAGGTTTTTAAGTAAGTGATGATTAGGAATCCAGATAAAAATTGTAACATACTTCTTACTGCTCTAAGCTCACATCCTAAGTTTTGGTTAGAAGTGACTTCTCAGAGCATCACTGAAATAAAGCAGACACTGAAAATAAAGACATAACCAAAAAGTAAGCATAAAAGTTGATGCATCTTCCATGTTAGATCATAGAGGAACTTTGTATACATTTTAATATATGTTTATTTTCAAATATTTTTAATAAATTCATTCTACAACCTCATGACACACTAATAGATTCAAGTTAAAAGGTTAATCCAATTGGGGTGCCTGGGTGGCACAGTCAGCTGAGCGTCTGACTTCAGCTCAGGTGTGATCTCACAGCTCGTGAGTCCGAGTCCCGCATCGGGCTCTGTGCTGACAGTTCAGAGTCTGGAGCCTGCTTCAGATTCTGTGTCTCCCTCTCTCTCTCTCTGCCCCTCCCCCACTCAAGCCATGTCTCTGTGTCTCAAAAATAAATAAACATTAAAAACAATTTTTTTAAAGGTTAATCCAAGGCTCTATACCCCAAGGTATACCTGATAGGAATATTCCAACAGGAAAAAAAAAAACAAAAACAAAAACAAAGATTTGTGGATAATAAATCATTTTCTTGAGGAAACATTCCCAAAAAGGTTCAGCTCATTAAATAGTAACCTTGGATCATTCTCCAAGGAGAAAGATGATAAAACTGAGACTATATTGTCTGTTCTAATTCAGAGAATGTGTTAATTGATCCTAGGACTAGACTGGTGTAAGAAATATCTGACAGTCATTTTGGTGACTCAGCACCTTGCATTCATAAATTGTGTGTCCATCTTTCTCTATAGATAGCATATATTTATTCATCCTTTCTTATAACTAGGATACTAACAATACTGCATAGGCTCCATCAATCACGTCCCATTTTGGATCTTGAAAAAAATCTGATTATTAATGATACCTTATGATAACAGGTATAGATTGGACTGCTTAGGACAAATGAGGATACAGAGTAACCAATAAAGTAGAAGAGGACAGGATTCATCCCTACCACTCCCAATCCTTGTTCATCCAATAGAACAAGGAAGTATAAAAGTATCTATGCCTGAGAGGGAGAAGTAAGAATTCACATATGAGTGACCTATTTCACCTCTCAAGCTACAAATCCAAGTGTGGCTAATTGGAAGAAAAGGACACTGAAAGCCAGATAATTCAAAGATACTCCAAGTACAGACTAAATTTGCTCCTTGCTTCTCAGAGAATAATCTAGGAAAATTGACAGTCCCTTAAAAAGACCTTCATATTTTGAATGGTGATGTAGAAACATAATATTCTTCAGGTAGTGTCTGAAAGTTGATTGAAGATGGTATGTCTATGTACGTGGACCTTAAGTGGTTTCCAGATTGCCCACAGTTTGAATTAGCAGAATAGGGAAATCATAAGTCTCAACTTGTCTCAGTGAGATACATGAAAATGTTACCATTTGAAGCATGTAACCAGAAAAAAGATGAGAGTCATGACAATGAGGCTATAGATGTTAAGGATCTCACAGATGCTGTGGCAGAGGTCATGGATTTAGCAAGGTATGTTAGGTTCACACTTTAAAGAACCACATAGAACCATGCACCTCAACACCAGCAGTATGACCAAAACCAGTAACACAACACTAGCAAGTGAAGGCCAAGCATGTAGTCTTCACGTCATATGGATACATAATGTCCCTTGTAGGAGCCATCTTGCGAAGAATGAGGATGTGATTTGAAGACAAAAAAAATTAACACTGATAAGTTTCAGCTGAACAATTAATATACCATTCAGATACTGTGTGGTAAATCCAAAGAGACTATTTTAACCCAGGAAGATCTGGATAGTCTTTAATAGCAGGTTCTTTTTTCTTTGTCTATAGTAAGAGTAGGGGTTCAGAGACAAAATAAAATAGCTTGCAGATAATACAGTTCTTTGCTAATATGAACAGTGTTGTGGAAAACTGAACCCTGCCTCATTAGGGATAGTGATTTAATTTTTTAAACAAGTTTTCACTTTAGATACATATCAAACATAAGGCAAGTAATTTGATCTCTGTTTAATAGGTAAGAAAAATAGGTAAGATATAGAAGTAAAATAACCTAAATGTTCACATGGCTACTGTGCAGCACAGATGGGACTCATCCCTACCACTCCCAATCCTTAATTCTTCTAACTAAACCAGTAAGAAACAATCTGAAACTTAAAGAGTATATGTGGCCTGAATATGTCCTCAAAATGGCCTTTGATCTAAACTCAGAAATTCATCTCATATTTATTTTTTATAAAATTTGGGTTTTTCCTGCATGGAGCCAGACACTGGGCTCGATCTCATGACTATGAGATGATGACCTGAGCCAAAATCAAGAGTCAGATGAGCCACCCAGGTGCCCCCAAATTCATCTCATATTAAAGATAGGGGAATTGATGGCCTCTTCAGGAGGATAACTTAGCCCTAATTACACGTAAGTGTAGATCCAGGGCTGGACAGGTTGCAGATGTAGAAATTAACAATCTAGAAAACAGTGTAGGCACTTGCCAGCATGGATGTCTGGAAGGCCCTGGTATCCTTGAATGATGAAATTCAGTATGAATGGTCTGTCAGAGGTGTCAAAATATACATGGTCTCTTGGAAATATATGGCCAGATCACTGATGGATCCCCCACCCAGAGAAGGATAATAGTGAGATAAACATGAGAAGAGGGAATAAGGAGAGTCAGATGAGTAAATCTAATTTGAACCTGTGGCAGGATAAGAAGTAGAAGCAACCAAATCTAGCTTGAAGTACTCCAAGATGTAGACTTGTGCCTTTTATCGGGAGGCTGAGGAGAAAGGTTAAATGTAAAGGAGCAAGGAAATAAAATTCTGAAGGTTTTACATATAATGCCATAAAAATGTAAATTATATGAAACTCCTTTTATGCAATATTACCAATAATACAATTCAGACATTCAAGAATACAAAATTAAAATTCAAGCACAAAGAAGCATGGAGACACAAGTAGTGTTTTGCATTTTAGTAGCTAAGAATTACACTCAAGAACAGAAAAAATACAACTCGATTAAATCATGTCTTAACAATAAAATCATTCAAGGAATAATATAACCATCATACAAGCTATTGTAGCTTCTGAAAGTTTGGCCAAAAATGAAAATCTCCAGAAAACAATAAAAGAATGTTAAGCATAGTTGCACTTTTATATTTTCTAATAAACTGTTACATATTTTTAAGTGGCCCATAAACATTTTGTTTTATCTTTCTTGAATTCTATACCAGACATTCCTATCACTGTCCCAGGCCTATGTAAAAACCCCACCAGGAAGAATGAAAAAGGATGTCAATAGTAGAAATCACTAAAAATTGAGTCAGCAACCAGGTGTGTCAAATATTCACTTGGGGGTAAATTCCAGGGAGTTTTTATTCATTATCTCATATAAGTTTAACAACAATATTTTTAAAAGGCAGATCATTGTGGCTATACTTTATATATAAGAAATCTGAGTTGAAAGCATCTAAGGTCCGTATTCATAATGTCAAAGTTGGCATTTAAATCCAAGTTTGACTACATTGGCTGAGTTTCTTCCTCTAACCATACTTTAATAATCTCCTATAAATTTATTTTAATTCCGTAAAGTTTCGGGGCACCTAGGTGGCTCAGTCGGTTAAGCGTTCAACTTTGGCTCAGGTCATGATCTCACGGTTCTTGAGTCTGAGTACCATGTCAAGCTCTGTGCTGACAGCCTAGAGCCTGAAGCCTGTTTCAGATTCTGTGTCTCCCTCTCTCTCTGCCCATCCCCCACTCATACTGTCTCTGTCTCTCTCTCAAAAATAAAAAAATAAACATTAAATTAAAAAAAATAATGTTTAGCTTAATAATAATCTTTATAGGTTTAAAACAAACAAAATAACTTTTATGAATATTGCCAAATGAATCTTTTTTACAACATAATTGTTGAAGAAAACCTTTTTAAATTTATCTCAGAAACCAATATTCCTACTTATATTATTGAAAACTAAATGGTTAAAATCATTTTGAGGTAGTTTTGATGGCTTCTTTACCTGCCCAACTGCTCTGTCTCTTTCCAGAGAGGTCAGCATTTTCTGCTTCAGTAAAGTGTGGTGCTTCTCATGTAACACCCTTATAGTTGGTTCATAAGATGCATAATGTAACTTCAACCTATGAAAAATAAAGGGCATTTAAAGGGTAATTGAGTAAATCAGTGATTTCCATCTAACATCTAAACCTTTCTCTCTCTCTCTCTGCTTTTACAGTAGGATAAAAAATGAATAACCATATAAAGGTCAACACAAGCCAAGAAGTGCCAGCAATATTACTTGGTATGCAGCCCTTAAACATGGTGGGAATAGGGAAGTCAGATTTCTTTTGAGTTAACTACTTTTCTATTTCCTACCAGAAGTTTTACTATATTCAAGCATGTACTCAGAAGACTGCTGCTATTTGTTGAGATAAAAATCTGCAGTTTGCTTAATCAATTCAGAAACAGTTGTCAAAAAGACAAGGGCTGCAAACAATGGAAGATTAAACAGAAAGTATCATTCACATCAAAATAAACTAAAGGATGGTTTTGAAAACAAGTTTGAGTAATTCATATTAAGAAAATTAAGTATAAAATATTTTGAAAGCTCATAGGAGAAATAGTTCAACTCAATATATGATATAAATACCTTTAATAATATTTTTAATTTGAAAATGCCTTCAAAATACTATTTTTTACTTATTATTGAAGTGTAATTTACCTGGAGTAAAATATACAGATCTTAAATGTTATAGTTCAGAGTTTTCAGAAATATGCATGCCCAGGGAGTCCACAATGTTATCAAAATATAGAGCATTTCTAACATCTCAGGAGATTCTAGAACTTCATGTATTTGGAATCATACAATATGAATGTAACAACCAACATCATAGGAATACAACCAATTATAAGAGATTTTAAAAAACTATATGCCAACAAATTGGGTAACCTGGAGGAAATAAATTACTGGAAACATATAACTACCAAAACTGAAACAAGAAGTAGAAAACTTGAACAGATAGATAGCCAGCAAAGAAACTGAGTCAGTAATAAAAAACTACCAACAAACAAAAGTCCAGGACCAGATGGCTTCCCAGGTGAATTCTACCAAACATTTAAAGAAAAACTAATACCTATTCTCTCAAACTATTCCAAAAAAACAGAAAAGGAAGGAAACTCTCCAAATTCATTCCATGATACCAGAAACTGGCTTCTTTCACTCAACACAATGTTTTTTAGATTCTTCCATGTTGTTGTGTATATCACTAATTCATTTCTTTTTACTGTGAGTCACATTCCTTTGTATGTATATTCTACAATGTGTTTATTGAATATTTCACTGATAAAGAACTGATTTGTTTTTAGCTTGGGGCTATAATGAATAAGGTTGCTATGAGCAGACTGACACAAATCATATGAGATATTTTTTGGTTCTATCTCTTCATTTCTCTTAGGAAAAATACCTACGAGTTGAATTGCTGAGTTGTAATTTACATTTCCCACAGCAATATTTGACAGCCTTGGTCACTCTACCTCATTGCCAACATTTGGTGATTAGTCTGTCTAGTTTTGTCAATTTTATTATAAATTTTATCACTTTTATTATATTTTCAAACAATCAACATATGATTTTGTTGATTTTTTCTTATGTTTGTCCCTTTGCTAGTTTATTGGTTTCTGATCTTTTTATTTCTATTTCTTTCTCTTTATTTTTTCTTTTTTTATCATCGAAGTATAATATTAGATTATTGATATAAAATTTTCTTCTTTGCTCATATAAGCATTTAAAAATATCAATTTTACTTTAAGAACTGCTTTGGCTGCATCCCACAATTTTTAATATGCTGCCTTTCAATCATTCAGATTGAAATATTTTTTCATTTCCTTCATTGACTCAGGGACTACTTAGAACTATGCTACTTCATTTCCAGATATTTGGGAATATTCCAGAGAGCTTTTTGCCATTGATTTTCATTTAATTTGATTGTGGTCAGAGAACATATTTTGTATGACATCAGTTCTGTGAAATGTATAAAGACTTGTTTTATGGTTAAGCATATGACCTATTTTGTGCACATAAAAAGTCCAAAGTAGAATTCAAGAAATATCAATTACACTCAATTAGTTGATGTCTTATTCTATAGACTTAGAGAAATTGTGCCTATTTTTCTAATGATTGCCAAAAGAGCAGTGTTAAAATCTCCAATTATAACTGTGGATATATCTATTTTTCCTTTATGTTTTATCAGGTTTTGCTTCATATATCAGACTCTTATATCACAGTCATGCATAATATGTCATCCAGATAAAATGACATCTTGCTGAAATGACCTCTTTTTCCCAAATTCTCAGGATGACTATAAGGATGTTGTTTGTGTATCCCTTTTCCTTAGGCCCTGTGGGCATGCAGGGGTGGCTCTCCTTCCCTAGGAAGAGCTGACACTTCAGATGTGCTGCAAGCCGCTGTACAGGCCTCTTCCCCACAAGGTAAAAGATACCCTCCTGGAGTTGGCCCTACTTCCTCCTCTCCTGACTACCAAGCTAATGGTTTGGTGAGGGAGAAAAGAGACTATATATCCAAACTAGTATAAGAATTAATCAGCATATACTAACAGGAACCAAAAAAGCACCTCAGAGATTGGATTTTGAGATACTAACCTAAGAATGGATAAACAATAATTCACCTTTTTGAAACAGTGGATTTCACAAGTACTGAAACAAGCACTGCAATGGCTGCAGTAAAGTCACTGCTGAGGTGGCTCTTAGCAAGTTGGAAAAAGTAATGGTTAACACTCAAAAAGATGAAAATGCCTGAGCTGCCTCTCCTGGCAGACAGTAGAGGAGGAGCTCCATAACACCACAGCAATGATGGACTGTGATGACAACCTCAGTCTTTCCACAAAACCTGTAGGCGTGACTAAGTACTGGGAAAAATATTTTCAGGAGTTGTCATTAATATCCAGAAATCCAGAGTGACATCACAGCCCCTATATTACAAAGGAGATTTACAGAGGCCAGAGAATAAGTAGGGTCATAGCTAAAGTCTGGCTCAAAGTGGGCTTATTTGGTCTATGCACCCACCCCATGATTAATCCAAGATCCCTGCATAAATAATTTTAACTGATTTACCAGATTGTTGGAGTAAGCTATCAGAGTTGAGAAGGCCACTCCAGTGTCTTCCTCTGACTTGTGACAGACAATTTGAAATTGCCTCACAGGCACAATTTGGTTTATTTTTTTAGCCTTTTCTTGTGAGGCTCTGTTAATTCTTTTCAGCTTTTTCCCTTAGTAAATTTTTTTGAAAATACATTTTTCAGTTTGAGAACTTCCATTTGGTTCTTTGTTTATATTTCTCATTTCACTTCTGCAATTTCTCAACTGTTCACTCATTATATTCATTATTTTCTTTAAAATTCTGAATATTTCATAAGCGCTACTAATTCTGTTATTTCTTTCATTTCTGAGTCTGTTTCTATTTGTTCTTGGCTATGGGACACATTTTCCTGCTTCTATATATGTTATATATTTTTTTGTATGTTGGACATACATTTATCTGAATTTTATTATCTTCCTTTAAAAGAGTTTTGTTCTGGCAGATAGTTAATTTAATGGTTGACAGTTTGAGCTTTCCAAAGTTTACTTTTAATCTTTTATTAGGGCAAGTCAAAGTAGTTCCTTCTCCAAGGCTAGAATAACTCTTCTCCTATGGCATGTCTTATCAAGGGTCTTAACTGAATGCTCAGAATTTTCAGTGAGGTTCCTCCATTGAGCTGGTCAGAATTTCTACATCTTTAACCTCTGGAATCTCCATTTAGCTCAGTTTCCCATAAGCTGTTCTTTGGAGGCATCATTTTTTTCACTTTTCCATAACTTAGTATTTGGTCAAAGACTAAAGGGAACTGCTACAAATATTTCTTAAATTCCTTTCATACACCTCCCTCCTTTTGTGATCCTATCCTGCAAATTCCAGTCCCCTCAGTAGCACTGCACTCAGATCTCTGCCTCATCAGTTAATCAAAGACTACTGCACCCCGTGCTCTACTTTGTAACACTATTGTCTGAATAGTACTTCTGTGCAAAAATCTGGGGTGATCATGCTGCTCACTTTGAATAGTTCCCTTTTCTTAGGCATCACAGTCCTACTCTGCCAATTTTCCAACATCTGAAAAAACAACTGCCAAAAGTTCTGTTCAGTTTTGTAGTTCATTGCAGTTGAAGAGCTAATCTATTTCCAGTTAAAGAGCTAGTTCAGTTCTATTCAAACATGGCCCCAAGCATAAGAGCCCCAAAATAATTTTAAATGTTTTTCTATTAAAAAATAAAAGAGTAATCCTTGTTTTGTGCATTTTCAAGAAATTATTTATAAAAGTCATTGACTTGTAAGTCATGTTTCTCTTAACATAATTTATGATTATATTTCATTGCCAGCAGCAATAAAACATAAGCACTAGAGTTAAGTTACATATATATAATGTGTATCAAAATTCAACTATATTCAGCAAAGCAAGAGAGAGTAACAAAATAAAAATATAACAAATATGTACAACCCTATCCCCCATTCCATTAATGTGCTTAGCATATATATATGTATATATACTTTGCTGTATATTGCACACTTCCCTAAAGTTATATATATTTATAAGCACATATTCAGGTACAGAGTTATATACACAAAAATGTGTGCTGTAATTTGTGGAAAATTGAAGGATTATTATTATTGATGGTACAGTTTTTCTTGTATTTACTGACTTTAGTACCTAACTCATTCATGGGATATGACTTGATAATCCTCTGCCCAAAGAATTACCATTATGTAGAATATAACAAGGAAACATTAAAAAAAAACCTGTTTAGTCAATCTGAAAGAGTATGTCTGTTTTGTAAATTCCATAAGTACCTCATAATTCATCTGCTTCTATGCTCTAACTTTGAGGGACCGCTAGGTGGCTCAGTCGGTTAAACATCTGACTTCAGCTAAGTTCATGACATCACTGTTTATGGGTTCAAGCCCCACATCGGGCTCTGTGCTGACAGCTCAGAGCATGAAGCCTGCTTTCTACTTTGGATTCTGTGTCTCCCTCACTCTCTGCCCCTCCCCCGCTCATGCTCTGTCTCTCTCTCTCTCAAAAATAAATATCAAAAAAATTTAAGTTCTAACTTTGATATTAATAATTCTAAAAATGAATAAATTCGTAATAAGACACTCACATTAAATGAGAACTACTGTAAAGCTGATAGTAAAATCAACTAATTATCGACTTAATTTACAGAAAAAAATTAAGAGTGACCTTTTGTAGTTTACAATGAGAAAAAACATAAATATATAACTGAAATATTTGGGTAAAATATTAACATAGAGAAGTTAGACTCTAATTTAGCCTGGCATCAAAAAACATTCTTCCTGAGTGCCTCAGTTGGTTAAGCGTCGGACTTCGGCTCAGGTCATGATCTCAGAGTCCGTGAGCTTGAGCCCCATGTCGGACTCTGTGCTGGCAGCTCAGAGCCTGGAGCCTGTGTCTTCCTCTCTTCAGATTCTGTATCTTCCTCTCTCTCTGACCCTCCCCCATTCATGCTCTGTCTCTCCCTGTCTCAAAAATAAATAAACGTTAAAAAAAAAAAAACAAAAACGAAAACATTCTTCCTTGGGGCGCCTGGGTGACTCAGTCAGTTAAGCATCTGACTTCGGCTCAGGTCATGATCTCAGAGTCCATGAGCTCGAGCACCGCCTCAGGCTCTGTGCTGGAAGCTCAGAGCCTGGAGCCTGCTTCAGATTCTGTGTCTCCCTCTCTCTGACCCTCCCCCATCCATGGTCTGCCTTTCTCTGTCTCAAAAAAAAATAAATATTAAAAAAATTTAAAAAAATTCTTCCTTATAGCTGATTTATTATGCATGTTTAGTTGCTGGTTGTTTTTTTTTTTTTTATTAATGACTCTGATGATATCACTGAATTTTTGTTTTAGGTACTTAGAAAACACATATTATCGATTCATCCAAATGGTTAAATGGAGACAGTATCCTTAATAATTAAATGTGGGAATAAAGGCTAGCTGAAAACAAAAGTTGTAGTTATATTGCAGTGTAATGTGAGTTTCTTCACCAGGGCATCTGAGGATTACAAAAAGTATAATCTGACATTGCTGAATTTTTATAAGAAATGAATTATAATAGTATTCCCTTTAAACATACTAGGAAATATAACAAGTATGATCTATTTTTAAACATAGGCTAGAGACTCAATGAAAAAAAAAAAAGCAATTAAAAAAATTCAATTTACCGAAGAAAAGAATATCCAGGCAGCAACAGTGAACAACATATTTCAGCTGCCACAACTGGATACAAACATGCTTAGACCGTCACGTATCCAAGTAACTGAAGTACTGAAGTACTGAAACCTGTTTGTATTAGCACAGAAAGTGAGAATAGAATCAAACCTGAGATCTTTCCCATGAAAGAATGTGCTGTGATTCAAACTCACTTAACCGTACATGTGGCTGTGTATGCACATTCACACACACACACACACACACACA